TTTTCCCATTTATGATCAGAAAAGTAGTTGTTGCGGTTGCAGTTCTATATATGTTGATGTTCTTGCAGCTCATTTTGGTGCTATAAGCCTTGTAGACTTTCAAGATAATTATTTCTGGCATGTCTCATATTGAGGGTGTTATTATTACAGTACAAAATATTTCTTAAGTGTCCTGTTGATTACAATTTTTGGACGATAAAGCATGTGATCATAAAGCAATGCATGCTTGTAAACTTGAACTTTGCAGAAAGCAATTGCTCAAATGTTTTAATAACTGAGAAGTGTGATACAGTTACAGTATATGTTTTTGTTGCATCAGTTTGTTCAAATTTGATTGCTCACGTGTATGTTTGTAAACAATAAGTGTGTCTGAACTATAGAAGGTGAAACCTGCGCTGCTAATAATTGTTTGTTTGGGTAATTTGCAGAAATTGCAAATGATGGGGATACTTGAATCCAAATTGTGGGCTGCAAATGAAGCTTGGATTGCATAACTTTCTGTTTTTGTCATTTATGTTTGGATTGTGTTTGTAATTTTGTAAGCCATAAGGCATAATTATCATTTATTTTGGTTTGTTGATGTATATTGATTTGGTTGATTATGATTTGGATGTTGAATTTGTTGATGGATATTGATTTGGATGTTGAATTTGTTGAATCTTTGGTGAATGAATAGGTTGAATATTCAATTGGTTCATTTCTGAGTTTTGTCATTTTGAATACCGAAATGGTACCATACCATACCCATACCGATTCGGTACGGTATGGTACGGTACCAACTTTGGCAAACCATAATCCCATACCGAACCATACCGGTTTTAATTTCCGGTATCGGTAGCGGTATGAGCCCAATACCGTACCGTACCGAACCGTGCCCACCCCTAGTTATTGGGGCGCGAGGTGAACTATTAAAATTCGGCCAGTGAATTTAATTTAATTTATTCTTTTCACGCAATGTTCTCTGTCGGCATGATGAATATTGTCTTGTTTTCACTATTTTCAGTGAAGAATTTATTTTTACATTAGTGCTCTGCAATTTTTTTTCTCCCCAAAACTCACGCGAACATGTTGAGTGTTTGTTTTAACGGGCTTCCTCCTTTTCTCAGTGAACGTGTTTCATCCAGCAATTTTTTTAGAACTTTTTACTGGTTCGAGCTTTCTTTGTAGTTTCAATTGCCACAACAAAGATATATGTCGAAATATATTATTAACATAGGATCACTTGGTCAATAGAGAATGATCTTTGGTGGTAAGCAATCGGAAGATGGCTGAACTCTTGCATATTATAACATCCAAAAAAGTCAACGCTTCACCTGGTTTGATATCGATCTCAGTTTCTTCACGGGTAATTTGGAATTGCAGTTTTAATTCCAAAGTTTCTTTAATACAAACTATTGGAACTACTGTTTTTATTAAGACGACAGACTAAGTTGGACAATATTTGGAATTAAGGTAGTTGATTGAAACCACAAAGCTCAAACCAGGAAGAAAAAAATGTTAAAAAGGGAAAAAGAAGAAGAGAAGAGCACGTTGGATGAAACACACTCGTGAGAGGAGGAAGCCTGTCAAAAACCTCAACGATGTTAACGTGAATTTTGGAAGGAAAAAAAAAACCTCATTTAAAGTTTGATGACGTGTCATGTGTTAAGTGGTTAGATTGTTTTAGTGATTTAAATTTAATGAAATGCAGGTAAATGCACGGGACCTAAATGCAGAGGCTCATGATCTTAAATTACAAAAGTGCTATTTTTGAGGAGATTGGATTTGAAATCGAATCTAGAATCTCGGATACAGAGATAAATGCTCTTAATCACTTGTCATCTAAATAATTGAATAAATGAAACATCACCATGTCATGATTTGAGAGCAAATTCTACTCCAATTCCCCCATTAGGCCAATAGTACCACCGACCTCACCTGCAAGGTCTCACTTGTCAACTAAGAAGAACAAAGATTTACGCAGAAGGCAATTGTGGGAAGAAAATAAGTAAGTGGGTGAACCAACGGCTTTCAAAATTGAAAAATCAAAGCAAATTCTAGCCGTTAGTTTTCTGCTTTTGTGACACCTCTACGTGGCCACCCCATAAATCCAGCTGTTGACCTATGTTCTCTCTCCACTATATATTTGGGGAAGCAAGCAATCAGCCCAACTCTCTTCTTCATTTGTTCTCTCTAGCTAAAACTAAAAGCTTTTCTTTTCTTTCATTCAAATTAAATCTTTGATTTGCAATGGCACATTTGAGCAGCATTGTGATGAAGACGAAGGCCTTGGTCTTTGCCTTTGCCGTGGTGGCTTTCTTTGCGGCTGTGTCTTCGGCCCAAAATTTTGATGCTGCGCCCGCTCCCGCGCCGGCTCAAGACAAAGGAGCAGCTCACTCTGTGGTGGCCTCAGGGGCTATGATCCTCTGCCTCCCGTTTTTCATGTCCATGGTTGCTCTCGTCAACCACTAGATTTTAATTATTATTTCCACCCATTTATTACTTGCTAGTATTTATTACTTGGTGATTCTTTTATTTTACGTATGTATTTATAATGCGTGTATTTTCCTTTATCATTCTTTGTTGATGTGATACCATATTATAAATACAGACAAGTATTGAAGGTTCTGAAACAAATTGTGGTTTTGGGAGAATTTGTAAGCACTGCTTAATACAACTAACACAGTCCCTCCAGCTGGGTGATTGTGAGCCATCCGGGTGATTAAATGATTTAGATTTGATAAATGAAGGACAAACAAACAAACATTCACACACAAATCAAACACCACAGTTTTACGTGGTTCACTCATAATTGAGCTACGTCCACGAGGTTGCTAGGGTTTTTCAGTAATTGAATAAGAAGCACAAGATACCACACTTGGGATACTGAAGCTCTCTCAACTGCTGAAGTGCCCCACAAGACTGGAGCACACTTCGAACCACACTCTTTCGGCACTCTTGCAATTTTCCAGTACTCTTACAAGGTCCCTGTTCCACAAAAGTTATTATCAACTTAATAGAACTAGAATGAAGTTTATGCAAGTGTAGGATATAACCAAGCACAGAAAATGATAATGCACGCAAACCAGACACAAGGATATAATATGTGAAACAAAAATCACATGCACAACATATAGAATGGAACATTATCTATCTGTTTGTGTATATAAGCCTAAATGTAGTAGCTCAAGGGTCGAGTCAATCTTATGATCAAATACCCAGGTGCATTAACAGGGTGCATACATTTGAATGATGGCTATTGGCTTTCTTCACTCCATCTGTTTCTTCTTCTCTCCACTGCACATGTATGGAAGTAACTGGATCGAAAGTAAACCAATGTTAGTACCATATGAACAATTTTTTTGAGATTTAATAATTGAAAAATGTTTGTTCACCTGTGTGGAAATATATAACAATTACATATGATGAAGTAGCTACCTATTATTCTTTTCCTAGTTCTTCATAAGCCATAACGCCATCTAAGCTTAAAGAACACTTGGTCATGTTCGTTTCAGTATTTTATTTATGCTCATGAATACGGGTTCAAGTGAACTTCAATTCCCCTCATGCACACCGTTCAAGGGAACTTCATTTCTCACACAGGACCTGAAAAGACAAGGAAGAAGGGAGAGTTAGCTGGGAATTGATTTCTTTAGAAAAGGACTAAGAAACAGAGATGTACAAACCCGAAAAATCTGCCCTCTTTGTTTTTGCTTCTCTGTATAAAGGAATAGTATCCAATTTCGAACTGGCTTAAAACGGTGAGGCGGAGCATCCGTTCGGGCACTGTCTGACATCTTCAATTCCAAGATGACAAAGCACTACTCTCTCCACCCAGCCATCTCGCTACACTGCATGTTCAAAAACCAATGAAAACTCTCATTTAAGCATTCAAAGCATAAACCAGCACAGGAAATGATAATGCATGCAAAGAAGACAGAAGGATATGATGGGGTAAATGAGTATCAAAGAAACAAACAACACAATTAACTTCATTGGAACAACAAGTCGGTAGCAGAGGGCAGCATGATAGAAGTATCAATGTTTTAAATGACGCGCACAAGTAATAGGTGCGCTTTGTGGCGGGCCTCTTGGCGAGGCGGTTTTCTAGTGTTTTCTCTAGCAACATAGTGGCTATAACATAGTGGCTATTGTATAATTTCTCAAAGTAATCCCCTTCATCCAAAAACAAAAAAACAAAAAAAAAAAAATCAAGATTTTCCTTTACTAGCACCCAAGTAATTGGGCTAATTCTTCATCAGCTTTTTGAAGAAGCAACATGACAGCTCTTCATAGCATTAAATGGCCAAAAAATCTTGCAGAAATGGCATTGGCTTGGTAACACCAATTAATGTTACTTCTCTCAATTGTAGTTGCTGCCCAGATGTCATTATCTCATTCGTCCGTACTACCACACGGCAACACGTGGTACTATTGTATAAATTCTCCAGAAGTGGAGAGGAAGACATTGGGTCCTTCAATTTAATAAAGAGGGTGGGTGTCTCGAACCATTGGAAAAAGCCTTCTTTTTAATAATAGATTACAAAGAACAAATCTATAAACTATATTATTTTTTATTACGCAGATCCATAATTGAAAGCTCATGGAGTAATATGAGGTTGCCGATCCAACAGATGAATAATGAAGGGAATTAAATGTTTAATTCATAAATACCAGCCATCATGACATAATACAAACTGCTTTCATAACATGGCACCAATTTCAAAAGCCATAAGGAAATTTGAGAGTTAGAATTACCTAAATTCATCACAATTACAACTGAGAGTCACTTGTATGATCAAAGCCAGGATGCCTAATCAATTTCTTCTTTTAATCACTGCATATCCATGAAAGAAAATTAAGAAACAAAACCGAATGTTATTATCATGTGAACATACCAACAACAAAACAATGTTAGGATCAAGGGTTCATCATCTAATACATACATACCACTTTCTTGGTGACCTGCTGTTACCCAATCAACAAATCATCTGAAAAAGAAGAAAATGAACAAGCTGAGGTTGGTTGCCATTTGAATGAAAGTGTGAATGCAAAAGAAAGAATTTAGTTAGAAAAACGCACCAATGCGGATGTTTGAGATGTGAGCAATCTTGGACCAGTCCTCACCTGTTTCTTTCTGGCATCTTTGCTTTAAGATGGGGCAACCGTCAATCGTCAACCTTTTTAATGAGGCAAGGCAACGAAACCCTTCTGGGAGTGATGCCAAATTAGGGCAATCGAATATCCAAAGCTCCTGAAGTGATTTGAGGTTGCCCATCCCTTCTGGTAGTAATGTCAGATTGGGGAAGCGTCCAATTGTAAGATCGGAAAGTGATTTGAGGTTGCCGATCCATTCTGGTAGAGATGTTAAATTAGGAAAATTGTTAATATGGAGCTGCTGGAGTAATGTGAGGTTGCCGATCCATTCTGGTAGAGATGCCAAATTCGGAAAACCGCTAATTTGGAGGCTCTGGAGTAATGTGAGGTTGCCGATCCATTCTGGTGGTGATGCCAAATTAGGACAATCGTTAATTAGGAGGTCCTGGAGTAATGTGAGGTTGCCGATCCCTTCTGGTAGTGATGCCAATTTAGGACAATTTGAAATATGCAGTCTCTGTAAGGAGATGAGGCGACCCATCCCTTGATCTGGTAGTGATACCAAATTAGGGCAATCTTTAATTTCCAGCTCCTCAAGTAATGTGAGGTTGCCGATCCATTCTGGTGGTGATGCCAAATTAGGGCAATCGTTAATTAGGAGGTCCTGGAGTAATGTGAGGTTGCCGATCCCTTCTGGTAGTGATGCCAATTTAGGACAATTTGAAATATCCAGTCTCTGTAAGGAGATGAGGCGACCCATCCCTTCATCTGGTAGTGATACCAAATTAGGGCAATCTAAAATTACAAGCTGCCCAAGTAATGTGAGGTTGCCAATCAACTTAGACGAAGACTATCCAAGGAGGGAAAGAAGGTCATCGATGGAGAAGCAGCTGACATCATCATCATCTCATCACTCGCAAAGTCCTTAACCTTGTCTTCTGCTGATATGTACTCCAAATTCGTTAAACTTAAAAGCTCTAGACTCTTAAGAAGAGGTAAATGATCCAACGGTGGAAGATGTTGGCATCTAACACAGCCAAACAATTTGAGATTAACAATATTTGAGAGAGAGAGAAACCAACTCGCAACCCTCGCACCCATATAGTACTCCACGGTTAACTGTTTTAGACTTGAATGGGGCTGCAGCGCTTCCATTGAGTTAATAATTACATCACTCTCCTCCTCAACCGCAGCACTATTTTCTCTTTCGATGAGCATCCAATGTAAAGTCAACGAATAGAGATGTCGTTTCTCCTTCAAAACTGCACCATCATAATTCAATTCTGACACCATATCTTTCTTGTACCTCAAATTTCTGATCTCCAACTCTCCTCTTAAATCCTTCAGCTTCCCCAACTCACTGAGCCCTGCACTGTCCCTCAACTTGGAATTGCTTTTGCTCAAAACAAATCTACTCAAAGTACGAAGACGAGTCAATTCACCCAATCCACCAGGAATCCGAGCCAATTTATGACATCTTTTCAAAATGAGATGTCTCAAGTTGATCAATTTCTTGATATCTCTAGGCAATTCCATAAGAGAGCCACATCCTGAGAGATCTAGTGTTTCCAAATTTTGAAGTTTGACTATCCAATTTGGAAGTCTCTCCATTTTTTGGTTATCATTAAGATCAAGATATCTTAAATGTTTCATTTTCCTAAGACATTTTGGTAATGTTGTAATATTCAATCCATTCAAACTCAACATACGCAATGACTTAAAATTTGAAGCAATTGTAGCACAAAATGACTTATGGAATGACTTCAGCCACCACTCCCAGTTTTGGCTCAGGAAAAGGAAAGTCCTTAGCTTATTTGATTCCAGCAAGGATGTTGGTATTTTCCATTTCGACGAATCAACATCAAAATCAAAAGATACATGAAGAAGACGTTTTGCATCAAAATCAGTCTTATTGCGATCTATTATTGTGCTTCCCTTCCCTGCCACTTTAACAGCAAGTTCATTCATGAGATCATGCATTTTACAGCTTTTTATTATACCAAACTCATCTTTTTCTTCTTCTTGGAAAAAAGATCTCCAAACTAGTTCGTTATAATATTCATAACCAACATCTTCCAAGCACTCATTAGGATTTGAAGACTTAACGAACCCTTGTGCCACCCACAGCTTAATTAAATTCTCTACGGGAATCTCATAATCAGGCGGGAACAAACTACAATAAGCAAAACAATGTTTCAAATGTGATGGGAGAACATCATAACTCAGCCTAAGTGTTGGTAAAATATCATCTTCTTTTTGCCTTATTGTTGAAAGCTTGTTATTCTTGAATGTCAACCATTTAGATTCTTGATGTTCGGAGTACAACATACTTCCTATGGTCCTTATAGCAAGCGGAACCCCCTTACATTTTCTAGCAATCTCCTCCCCAATAGCCTTAATGGTTGAACTCGTTGGCTCTTTTCCATCTTGGAATGCCATTTTCTTGAACAAATTCCAAGACTCCGCATCACTTAAACCCCCTAAGTTATACGGTTTAGTTGTATCTGTTATCTTTGCAACTTTTTTACTACGAGTAGTTATTAGTATTTTACTACCTCTTGCACCACCCATCAACAAGTCTTTCAAGCTAAGCCATTTTTCACGATCTTCATTCCACACATCGTCTAACATAAGGAGGTATTTCTTTCCATCTATCTTTCCCATAAGGTTCCTTTGCAATTGATCCATCCTAAGGTTTTTTGGTTCCTCATTAGTTGCAGATTGAATGATTTTCTCAGTAAGTACATTCAATTCAAACTTATTGGAGACACATATCCACATTTTCAGATCAAAATGATCTTGAACCTCCTTATCGTTGAAGACAAGTTTGCCAAGTGCAGTTTTTCCCAATCCTCCAAATCCAACTATGGAAATAGTTGAGACATTTTCTGTAGAGATGGGATCCAAATCCTTCAAAAGTTGAATAATTGCTGTTTTATCTTGATCTCTCCCTATTATATTATCCTCCTGGACAGATGAGTGGTTGACCTTCTCTCTTCTTACAAATTCTACATTTTCATGATTCCCTTCTAATAGACCAAATGTTCTATTCGAGGCAATCTCATGGAGTCTCTTGTTAAGATCTTTTATCTTATGACCGATTTTCAGCCCAAAAAAAAGCTGGTTTGAGCTAGAGAAGAAGATGCGTACCTGCTTTGACACTTTATTATTTCCAGGCACCATTTGTCTCCATTGAGCTTCAGTATAAAACTCATCGAGCACGTCATCAGCTTCATAAACTGCATCTTCTACGCTTTCAAGCCACACTTTGACTTCATTATTGTTGGCTTGTTTTTGCTCAGCATCAAGAAGAACAGCTTGGAGTTGGGCAACTTTCTCCTTCAGCTTTTGGAGGTCATCTTTGACACCCCAAAGCAACGCAATCTCTTGGAAAACAAGATTGCCTAACCTTTCAATGATCCCTTGTGCAATGTTGAAGAGGACTCCTTCGGCCATTGGAGAAAGGAAAAGAGTATTCACTTGGAGAAAGGAAAAGAGTATTCTTGCCGAAAGTTGTTTGTTGATAGAGTTATTTGGTGTGGAACAGCAAGTGGAGCAAGAGTATTAATAATTGGACAAAGGAAGGAGGAAACATGCATCAAATCAGGTGGGAAAGCTTTGAATATTTGGTGTGGAACAGCAAGTGGAGCAAGTTGAAGAGGAAATGCCGAAATGTCATCTTTGACTGTTTTTGTCATTATTTTAATGGAGGAGTCCAATTGGTTGGTGACATGTGTGATAGCCGTTGGTGTTTGTTGTTTCCAATTGGTTGGTGACGTCAACAACAATAATGACTCTTGGTTTTGGTTTCATGTCTGTGTATTATGTGTTTTACACGGCAATTCCAATAGATGGCCGGCTATCTACCTTCATATTAATCTCTTTTTTTATTATATTAGATGGCCGGCATATCTACTTTTATATTAATCTCTTTGTTTCCAATAGATGGCCGGCTATCTACTTTCATATCATGTAATGGTTGCATATCAATTATTATTTATTTATTCAATATCATGTGAATGTAAAGACGATAGAGTTGAATACCTGAGCAATTATTATTTATTTATTCAATATCTTGTCTGTGTATTATGTGTTTTACACGGCAATTCCAATAGATGCCATTGCCGGCTATCTACTTTCATATTAATCTCTTTTTTTATATATTAAATTACTAATAACATGACATATAACTTGTCATGTAATAATTTGTCAGCCGTCCACACTAGCTGCCATGTAGTTGAGTCAAATATTCTTTAGTCCAATCACAATTTTATTATGCAGGCTGCAGGGTAAAGAGGAATCCAAAGACTATTTATTTATTTGTTAATTTCTTCAACAACAAAAAATTCATTTTGGACCAAAAACAACATCAAAATTTCAAGGGAATGTGATGTAACACGATAAATATAATACATCATTTTTTGTATAGTTTTATATGTATGTATATGAATACGCATGATTTAAACCATTAATTGTGTAATCCTAATAATATGTCATAAAAAATGTAGAGCCATAGCAAATTTAATTATATTATTAGCACACGTTCTATGATTAATAGGCTTTTGGATGGAAACTTATATAACAATGTTATGTTATATATATTGTTAGAATTAACGTCAATATTTTCATTTTAATATATTAGTGTGATATTTGCAGCTCAACAACATGTACTAAAATATTTAGGGTAAGACACATTGGAAGGAAAAGAAGAAAACAAAAACAACTTATTACTTATGCATTCAACATCAACATGATGTAGTTTTAGATGTCCACCTAGTAATAATAAGGTTTGTCTAAGCGCCCATGGCATGCGTGTTGTTGTTTGTATTCTAATATAAAGGGGAGAACTTTTATTTGTTAATGTTCTTTCTTGTGGAATATTTGCCCTTCTACTGTAAAAAAAAATATTGTCTCCAACTTAACCACTTATTAGCAATACTAATATTATCCTTAATTTACTTACTTGAAAAGTTCAGTACGTGTATGGTTTTATCACAAAAGGCCTCGACAATATTAATAGTGAAACCACTCATTATTTATTTTATCAAATTTCTGACCAGGACATTATACATCAAGCTATACATTACTCTTTAATAATTCATGGTCTTGGTTGGTAAAACATGACCATCCATAGTCATGACCCACTTTTAATTTTCATTAAATTTTTGGGACAACATTTTGGCACATTCTCTAGCTCGCATGCCAGTTTGCCACATGATCTCCTCATCATTTTGCGCATTAAAAAAGGATATTAAAAAATAATAATATTATAGATAGATGACCTCAGAGTGAGTGTCATTTTATTTAATTGGCGTTATCTCAATGTCTTGATATATCTCTCATAAATTTTTAGTAAGAATTACGTGGTCGTATACATGCTTCAATAGAAAACAAGTTTTAAATGCAAACGTACGCTTCATTATAAACAACTCAAAATGCAAGATGGTGATGAAAACATGCATTTTAAAAAAGTATATGTGGTAGTTTAAATGTAAGGATCATGGCAATATTTGACTTATTGTTTATTATTATTTTATTTTTCTTGCTCTACCATATGCTGCAGGTTATTTGAATCCAAAATTATTTATCAAGTTGTAATTGTCATTGCTTAACTACTCTAATTATATTTTCATAAACAATTATTGGGTGGTTATAACCAATTAATCTGCACTACCAACCGTAGTTAGTGCCGGTTTGGCATTGCTTATTTTGGGTGATAAGTGATTTTTAAAAAATTTTGAGAAGCCCAGCCCGTTTGGTAAACTATGAGAAAATCACTTATTATTAAAAATTGCTGTGAGAGAAAGCTATAAGGGAGCTTTTATTTTCTGATTATGCAGGAATCAGTTTCGAAGAGGCGCTGGGTTTAATGATTATGCTGCAATTTTTTTTTCTAATTATGCTAGAATCAGTACCAACAATACTTCTAACAAAAAGTTTACCAAACGCTAAACTGCTTTCTCTTACAGCTGATTTCTCTCACAGCAAATCTGACAGCGATTATTTTCACAGCATAGCAATGCCAAACTGTCTCTTAGTCTTAACAAGTTTACCTCAATTATGTCATTTCTAAAGTGGGAGTAGGTGCTAGCTCGCTGTCTCTGCCAATTTTGTTATTTCCTGCTTCTTTGCCAAAAAAAAATGATACAGCGTAATAATGGGTTGGTGATCAAATGAAATATGGAATTCACCATAAAATTGAGAGAAGTCTAATAATTTATTGATAATTATACTCGGAATAACAACTCTAATCTCTTAGTTAAAGTTTGTTTAAATACTACCTCAAACCCTAGTACTACTAGGAATACTAATTGGAATAAAAATTCCAAAATTATTCAATTTGGAGTACCATACACATAGCAGTAAATATAGGATATATATATATATACCGCGATGGAACTAGTTAATTGAGACCAATGGATTAACTGCTCACATTCTAATAATTTGCCCTCTTTGTGAACTAGATAAAATGCTAAATCATCATTATTGTTAGGACTCGCCAAATTAATTATTCACATAATAAGAATATAACAAACAAATATAGAGATTATATTAATCCAATGGGGTTGTTGAGTGGTTAAGATCATATGAATAAGAAGTTGAACAACCAGGGTTTTAAATCAATGGAAAATAAGAGTGGAGAAGATGCATGATTTTCATCTGGAGCTCTTCACAATTCTATTTCTTAGAGTAGTTGAGGAGGTCAGGTTGGATCGTGGAGCTGCCCCACCTGACGTACCATGCCATTGATAAAAAACAAAAAACCCATACATACACATTATGGCCATGACTTCCAACTTCTCATATGTTTTCCTCTTGAGAGATATATGATAGTTCCTTTTCTTGGAAGTTGGAAATGAAGTGTCACATGAATATTGACTTTGAATGGCAGTTTGTAAAACAAGGTAGGATATGAACGAAAGAATAGTTCTGACAGAATGAGTTTTCATTAGTGTGATATTGTAATTTATAGAGATGTGATTCTATCATTTAGGGGTACAAGAAAGGTAAATATATATACAAATCAAATCAGATATTTATTCCTACAGTCTTGTAATTCTACTGCTGATAGTCAAGGGATTGCATAATCAAATCAATCCCCTAACATCTTGTATCGTATCAATTTCTTAACACTCCCCCTCAAGTTGGAGACTGAATGTCAAGAACTTCCAACTTGCGCAACATGGCTGAAAAGGCATCTTTCCCCAATGGCTTCGTGAATACATCTGCTACTTGTTGGGATGAAGCCACATACTTCGTAAAGATTGAACCGTCCAAGACAATTTGGTAGGGTTATGAATCCCATGAAATTCAGACTCAACATACGCAATGACTTAAAATTTGAAGCAATTACGTTGCAAGACGACTTGGACCTTTTCTCATCAATACGGCTACATAATTTATTTTGAAAAAGAAAAGTGCGTATCTTATTTGCCTTTAGCAAGGGGGTTGGGATTTTCCATTGTGAAGGATAATAACCATCAAAGCAAAAAGAAACATGACGCAGTTTTTCATCAACATTCTTTTGATTTGAATCTATTATTGTACTTTCCGTTCCCTGATGCTGAAATTGCAAGTTCATGCATCAAATCATGCATTTTACACCAGCTTATCATACCAAATTCGTCTTCTCTTTCTTCTTGGAAAAAGGATCTCCAAAGTAATTCCTTAAAATATTCATAACCAACATCTTCCAAACCCTCATTCTCATGTGAAGACTGAATAAACCCTTGTGCCATCCGTAGTTTAATTAACCTCTCCACAGGAATCTCATAATCAGATGGGAAGAGGCTACAATAAGCAAAGCAATGTTTCAAATGTGATGGGAGAGCATCATAACTTAGCTTAAGTGTTGGTAAAATACATGCTATTCTTGAAAGCCAACCATTCATTTTCTTGATGTTTGGAGTACAACATTCGTCCTGTTGTTCTTATAGCAAGCGGAACTCCTCGGCATTTTTTAGCAATCTCCTCCCCAATGGCCTTGATTTTTGAACTCGTTGGCTCTTTTCCATCTTGGAATGCCATTTTCTTAAATAAAGACCAGGACTGATTTTCATCCAAACCCCTTAATTAGTAATGTATTTTTGCTCTATCCCTTATCTTTGCAACTATTTCACTACGAGTGGTTATTAATATTTTGCTACCTTTTGCACCACCCAACAACAAGTTTTGCAAGCCAAACCATTTTTCACGATTCTCGTTCCAAACATCATCTAACACAAGGAGGTATCTCTTCCCATCTATTATTTTCCTCAGTTCTTTTTGCAACTGATCAATCTCAAGGCTTTTGGCTATGTCATTAGTTGCAGATTGAATGATTTTCTTAACTAGTATATCCAACTCAAATACATTAGAGACACATATCCATATTTTCAGCTCAAAAAAGGGTTGGACTTCTGGATCGTTGAATATGAGTTGGGCAAGTGCAGTTTTTCCCAATCCTCCGAATCCGACTACGGAAATGACTGATACATTCTCTTCAGAATGGTATCAAACAAGAGTTGTTTAATTGCATTTTTATCTTCTTTTTTTTTTGGTCAGAAGATGAACTTCATTTCAAAGCCTCACCCAAAACGGGGAGGGAACAGTACAACAAACAGGGCAACCCAGTAAGGAAGCCAGA